CAGTCATTTAATAATGAAAACAGCCAGGATAAGCGTCTCTTGCTCAACCAACCTAGTGCCTTCTGTAGCAACAAAAGTTGCCAATCAGTGATTTTTTTTCAATTTTCAAAACAACCTGTTGCTTTATGAAGGAGAAAATATTGCGCGATAAATCAGAAAAGGGGGAAAACCTGAAATCAAATTCCAACAACTGAAAATGAAATTTACCCACACATTTTATGAAGAAACAAAATTAATTCATTTAACATGCATGGTACATAACAGAGGCTATATATAGGGACAGATTTCTGTCCTCTAGATGATATAAGTAAGTTGCTGTTAAGTCACGGTTCTGGAAATGAAGATCACTAGGCATTTGAGGGGAAAATATACTTATTTTGGGCTAGGGGAAACAGCCTTTATTCGGCTGTAAAATACAGTGAAAAAAATCACTGCGGCAATGGGTGTTAATGACGCCGAGTGACTAGTTTATAGGTATTATCAGCATTTCAGCAGTTATGTCATTTTAACCCTATGATTACATCACAAACGTTCTATTAACATTATATTTCAATAATATATCTCCTTTGCAATTAGTTTTATAATTGCCACATGTTATATACATTGTTATTTAATACATGTGGAGGCTTAATATACGTGATACATATTTTTGCATTCACAGTTTTCTTTGCCCATTTTGTTTCACTGAAAATTTTGCCAACCATGTCTACTTATTTACAAGTCTATGATATGTATTCAACAAAATTCCATACATTTTAATAATTTGCATTGCAATCAAAATTTTAAATTCAAGCAAACCATTTTATTTGAGCAAAATGTCGATAAACATTTTAGTGCATTGTAACAATCATTTCCAATATATAATTTGTAGCATTTCTATGGGTCATATGACTGTGGTACTTGATATAACTTTTTTAATGTTTAAACAATGTCATTGATTCATATCTATAGCTCATACAATGCGTACAAAATAATATAGGTAAATTTTATTTACTAGAAAACCATTTTCCAGTAAATTTATTACTTGTAACCATTTTCCAGTAAACTGGTTTCTTGAGCAGTAAAAGCATTATACTAGAAACTTGGTACTAGTAACTTACCATTTAACATAAGGATAATTTGTTGCCTTAACTAACCTATAAAATTGTGAATTGTTTATAAGATATTTTTTTTACATCCCAAGTGCAAGTAGATATATTCTTGAAAATATAATGTAAATAGGACATAAATGATGTAATCATAGCTAGGGATCAAGTGACACAACTGCTGAAAAACCGGTAATATAAAATTGTAACTCGGCGTCATCGTCAACCTTAAACCCTTTTACTGCTACGAAAGGCACTAGTTGGTTGAGCAAGAGACCCTTATCCTGGCTGTTTACGTTATTAAGATGACTGTTATTACGATCTATATTGCAATACGATCTATATTAATCCAGTTTAAAATATAAAAACGGCTGTTTCAGCTTATCATTAAGCAATTTGAGTAACTGGAAATATGTCTTCTAAAAACAAAAGTACAAATAAATTTTTATAACATAACAAGTTAAAGGTTGTTGTTTAAGCTTATTTGTGATGAAATGAATGCACTCTAAACTATTTCCTTTGTAAAAATAATAGTAATTTATAATGTACAGTTTGAAAGGGCATCTAAATTGAAAGCCAACTTTTTTGTTGGAAAAAGCCACCTACATGTATTTCGAAGTAGCAGCCTCAAGTTCAGACCACTATCAAACTAAATTGGGATAGAGTGTGTACGTTGACACTTTCTAGACAGTATGTGTACGTTGACATTTCTGTAAGTTGGTCAATTTTTTAATAAATACAAAAAATGACAGCGCAGGGAAACCAGTTCTTTTTTTTTCATTAAAAGATTCTCTTTTTGTATCTTAAGACCTGAAATACTTAGCACTGGCATGCATATCTTTTATTAAGTTATTATCAACACTTTTACACAATAGTGTGTACGTTGTCATCGACAATTTGCAAATATTGTTTGAATGATCTTAATAAAAATACAAAACGTTGGACGACATCAAATACATTTTTAGAAAGCATCAGAATTGCCGCAGTCGGTAGGCTATGTAGCATAATTTGAATTGGCTCGATAGAAAAATAATCAATAAAAAAATTACCTCAGCAGAGCTTTTTTGGCCGTGTACGTTGACTTTTGTGGTCACGTGACCAAAGTTGCTTACCCACGGTGATATAGTAAAAACTTAAAAAATCTTCTTTTAAAGAACTCAAAGAGCTTAGCTAAGATATTTAGCATCAAACATGTTCTAATAGGTGTCTACCAAGTTTGTTCAAATAAAAGCCCTGGGGTCAAAATTGGCACCGCCCCGGGGGTCATTGATTTTCCTTATATGTGTATAGCAAAAACTTAAAAACTTCTTTTAAAAAATCCAAATAGCTAGAGTTTAGATATTAAGCATGAAACATCTTCTAGTAAGTGTCTACAAAGTTTGTTCAAATAAAAGACCTGGGTTCAAAATTGGCCCCGCCCCGGGGGTCATTGATTTTCTTTATATGTGTATAGCAAAAAACTTAAAATCTTCTTTGAAAAAACCCAAATAACTAGAGTTTAGATATTAAGCATGAAACATCTTCTAGTAAGTGTCTACAAAGTTTGTTCAAATAAAAGTCCTTGGGTCAAAACTGGCCCGGCCCCAGGGGTGTCATTGTTTTTAACTACATTGTATATGTGTATAGTAAAAACTTTAAAAAAATCTTCTTTTAAAAAGCCCAATGAGCTACTCAGCTTAGATGTTTAGCATGAAACATCTTCTTATGGGTGTCTACCAAGTTTGTGCAAATAAAAGCCCTTAGGTTAAATTGGCCCTATAACGTTTGGGGGTGGGGGGGCCTATATACAGGTGAGCGACCTCAGGGCCATCATGGCCCTCTTGTTTATTAATTGATACTTTTTTAACATGATGAATAACATTGGATAGAATAGACATACTGTAACTAAATATGACAATCGTTTTCTGTGTAATGTTATTTCTTTGCTTTAATACACATATTCAGAAATAACATGACAGTGTACTAAAACAATACATTGTTCACTCCACTGAGGTTTTTTTTAATTGAGGTGACTGATTCACTTGATATTTGTAAGATTTTCAAATTTCATGTTGTAAGGCCTTTGAACCTCAGTGGAGCCCCTTTTAGCAATAATAAATGTATATGTAATATACATATACATGTATATATGTATAACTATATATTGTTACTGAAATGTGATAGCAAATTATATCTTTTATGCTTGGTATCTATTCTATCATAATTATATTGAAAATAATAAATCTGTTTTTTCTGATTCATTGGGAAAGAACAGACATATAAGATTTGTAAAATTGTGACTAATTAGATTATAGAATAGTCTCTGTTCTGCTATTGTGCACATGCGTATTATGTAAACACATGTATAGTCTGATTTTATTGACCTGTCAATTTTGAATACATTATAGCACTCATTTAAATATTCGATCCTACTTCGGTTTTGTCCGTTTATTTTTACGAGAATTAATATGGAGTATATAGCTAACGTTTGGAAAACTCCCACTAGCTTAATGTAGGTTCTCGTAACATCCGCAATAGCAAAGTCGGTTAAGTGATTACCTTATGTATGAGAGGTCCGAGGTCCGATCCCTTCTTTTGACTTTTTTTTTAGACGTCACTTATTTTAAGACATATTTTTCTTTATTTTTAAGTATATTATAATGAAAATGGTCAAGCGCTTTCAGAATTTTCTACGCAGATATGAAACAAATAAGAAACACTGAATTGTCACGTTTTGTATTGTATTTTACGGCACTGAAATGACATTTATTGATCTTAATCCGAATGAATTTAAAATATTAATTCTTTAACGATGATATATACAAAAGTATAGTATTAACAAAAAAGTGCAAAACCTATTAAAACAATAAGAACAACCTTAACTTCAAAAATGTTGAAAATATGAATAAGAAAAAATACCTGGACATACGCTGTCTCGATCTAACATCACGTACGACATTTAGAAATTATATACCCGTAGTTTACCCTATTGCGCTATAACGGTCAGTGTAACTTATGCATTGAAACCAGATGAATTTAATCATATCTTACTGCTTAAATCTCACGGAATTTACCGATAATTTATCGAATATTAATATATTCTGTGCATTGACCGTATAATCAGTATGGAATTGACAGGTTAATAAAATCAAACAATAGTACATGTTGCATTCATTGTAAACAGTAACTCAATCACAGCTTATTTATTTGTAAACAATAACTGCCATAGAAGGTTAATGGCAGGGTGAGTGATTAAGTAAAGCTTCACGCTCCTGCAGATGTTATGGCATGACAAAAGATGAATATTAGCTCTATTCTTGAATAAATTTACATCTGGCACGGTAATTTGGTGTTTCATTTTGTTTTTTGTTTAAGGAAACCATATTGTCATGGTTATACCCTGGCTAGCCTAGTCTGATGTAATTTGACCATAATGTTTTGATGATGAAACTAATTGGGCTATCATTGCAGTAAGCTATTTTTGCAAGGTGCCCTGGGTTACTCATATGTAAAACCTGCAACAAAAATGCCTGCCCACATAATGTTTTCCCATAATGCATGTTAGTCATTTCTGTTCATGCATATCATGGTGAGTTGTTTTCATGCAAGAGTATGTGTTATTAATTACACTCATGGATACAAGTTTTCACGCATTTGTCTGAAGTTTAGGTTTTTTCTACTCTTGAAAGCTCTCTTTTTCTGTATAAAATCATTTGAAATAATACTCAGAATTTAAGGTTTTCTGGGTTTTTTTTTTTAACTTGCACCCATGTACACATAACCTACCTCATTATGCCTTGCTATTTTCTTTCAGCCTTATTCCATGAACATCAAAAACTGTACATTTATTTTGTCATAGCTGTATGTCCTGTAATTCACTATAAAATATACTCAGTGAAGAATACTTTTCTGTATTCCATATTTTCTGTTTTCCAGCTGCGTTCTATGTACAACAACAGTAGAAGAGAGGCTGATGAAGGGACAGAGTTCTCAATAAATCCTGATCCAGTACCATACCAACCTAACAATTTCATGTAAGTTAAGCTTAAATGTGCTGTTATGTCCTTGTCCTTTTTCATGTAGTACATGTATTTTATTGAAAGGATTTTTTATGGGTTGTTCCTGACCCAGTGGTTAAGGTCATTGACTTCAAAGCACTTGCCTATCACCACTGTTAGTTTGAGCTTCAGCTAGCAACAGAAAGCTATCCTGCTGGCTTACGAAATGTCCGTGATTTTACTTAAGTGCTCGTTTGTACGTGAAATAATGCAGGGATTGGAACCTGAGGTATTCCTCTACAAATAATGCTGAAAGTCGCCATATGACTTATATTGTGTTGGTGTGACATAAAACCAGACCCCAAAAAAAAGAAAGAGAAAAAAGTAATTTTATCACAATATTCCTAAGACAATGCACTAAAAATGGCGTCAGTTATTTTCACTAGATAGATGTACAGATTCACAATACATGTACAGGGAGCTATAGTAAATGATATAGTGTGAGTGATATACGGTACTGTGAGTTATATAGGGTATATATCTCACTTTTGAAAAATCCTATATTTCATTCATTATCATCGTAAAATATATGTGCAGTTTCAATAAATCTGTTTAAATGTCTTCATTACAATTACCTAAATAAAATCATATATTATCCATTAGTGACAAAGATTATAGTAAGTTTTTAAAGTTTTACAAGAAAGACCTTTTTGATTGTCAGTTTAATGTATGATATCTTAAAAAAAAGTGCCGGGAGAAGTAGTCGACTTGATGGTGCTGAATCAACTGTACCTCCGTAAGTCATGTGTTAGTTGTGCATGTTTAATATGCTATTGTTGTATAGCTAGATTCTAACGTATTTTTTGTCTGGCATATAGTATATTTTGGTTATATTTTAAATGCTATGTTTAATATGATGTTGTGTTAGAATTTAAGGACTGGAATAATGTATTTAAGAGCTATTTTTGTGTGTTTTTGTCGCTTTTAGTTAATAGTAGTTTGAATGTGGTATTATTTAACAACATTGTTACATCTTAAAAGTCCATTAAATTAAGCCTGGAGAATCCTATGATTTTTATTTCTCAAAGGCATTTTAGTTTTAGTGTCCTGTTACATGTGAGTTTCAAATTAATCATTTTAAAACACATATTTCCATCTTCAAAAGGACAGGCCAATTATGCAAATTAAGCAGTCAGGGAATGGGAAAAAACTTTGAAGGTGCCATATAAGTTGAAATATGTTCACTTGACTCCTTATAATGTTTCAGAATACATGTTGGTATAAGAAAATTTATCTGATTTGTTTGTAAATTACCATGTATAACAAATAGGTCAGTTACAATTTCATACAAAAGAGCAAAAAATTCAATAAGGTCACTTCAAGCAGTCATAATGCAACATAGAACATGATTAAACAAATGGCTCTCTATCAGAAGCTTTATTTACCCACTTCAAATTCTTAGAATTTTCTTTACAAAATATTGATTATTCCTGTTATTTTAAAAGTGTTCTAAAAGTATTGCATTATCTTAAAGTCCCATCTAGACAATCATTTTGTTGACATTATAATCACATTTATCCAGATATGTTTAATTAAATCAATTTTGCTGGATATTAATTCAGGTCAATCTACTCAAACAAATAAATTAAAATAAAAGATTTTCTATAAAATCTTTCTTCTAAATTTTTGCACCTGACATATTGATATAAGTGTGACCATTAATATCTTTAATGAATTAATACTGTTTTATCTGCCAGTGTCATTTAAACTTAAACTGACCTATATTTTCAAGACAATACAAAATCAGATTTACGAGAGAAATCTTTAAATCCGTACAGTAATCAGACCTTTAATTCTTTAATGCCAAAGTTGGTTTATTTAATCATCACAAGATAATCTCATATAGTCAGTTTATTCAATAATAAAGACCCCAAGAGTATATTATAGGCCAAAGAAAGTCAATTTTCAGGTTATAAACACAGTCTATTTATTTCAGTTTGGGAGAACTTTTGAACTCTTTTTTTTTTTTAAATTATAGAAGGGGTTTTTGACTTTTCTTGAAAATTTGATGACTTTGTACCATTTCCATCAAATTTGAAATTGGTTGGAGGTCTTTTGTCCATCAAGTCAATTTGGTGAGAGGGCTATTGTCTATCTTGTGATCTTTGGACAGGAGAGGGCTTTTGTCTATCTTGTGATCTTTGGACAGGAGAGGGCTTTTGTCTATCTTGTGATCTTTGGACAGGAGAGGACTATGATGTCAAAATTTGTCTTTCAAACATGATCCCTTATGACTGGTTTGTGTCACTGATGTGAGATATATCTTCTTTAACTGTATAGTCATTTTGTTTAGTGATACATGTATATGGATAATAGTAATTCATAATATTATTGATATTTAAGGCAAAGAAAATGTCACTTTTAAATTAAGAATAATGAGGTATTATCATTTCTTAACCATTTAAACTGTAGTCTGCTGCAATGCAGCAATGAGAACAGACAGAAAAACCACCTTGCTATATTTGAAATTGAACCGCTGATCAGTACTTATTTTGAAATTTTCCCTGAAAATGATAAACGGTTTTCTCCAGACTGAAAAATAGATGTGGTCGGTTATTTAAGACATTTAGCATAGTGATGGTTAAATCAATATTCTTAATTGGTTATTGAATTTCAAAATTTCATTGCATGTTTGATAACAACCAAAATACAAACTTCTGTGAAGAACATCAATTTTTTGACACTTGAACTTTAATAGACTCTCCACTTTATGTAATAGAACTCAAGGCTTCATTTGTATTATAAAATCAAGTTAAAAAAAGACTTCACAAATAGAGCTCCGGTTGATTTGCGGTTTTGATTTCAGATTGCCCAAAGTGATCCTTTTAAAGAGACCAATTTGTATAAGTATTTCAGACAGTTATAAAATCATTTATTGTAAGTTATTTCGGCTATCAGCTGATCATTGCCAAAATGTTTGAATAGCTTATCTGATCTTATATTGAAATGCTGATTTGAAGTGCTTGAATTTTTATCAAGTATGCACTACCATTGAATAATTAGTTTGAAATATTAGTCCTTAAATGTGTGTAAATGATTTATATACGTGTGGCGGTAGTTTGTATATGATGTAGCTAGATTGTGTTTGAACTAAATTATTTTTACATTGAATGTGGCAACAGCATTGATAATATATGTTTGGCCAACCTGCACATCCTTTAAGTACTTTGCCTCTCAACCCAGGGATCATGGGTTAAAGTCCCACTTGGGTCAAGACCAATTATTTCATCATATGTGACACCTAAGTACTGGTTGGTTCCAAGTAGTCACCAGGAATCGAAAATGATTAATATAATGTTGCAAGATCTTGTAATATGTTTAAACCTGAAGTACTTTGATATTCAAATTCCCGAAACTAGTCATTATCAACATTTCCAATTTCAAACAAGTCCATTAAACAGATTGATCAGCATAAAAGTTGTTACAGGTTTTTAAGATGTATGGGCTTCTACATAAGTTTAAATGACTGAGTCATATATAAAATACATCAATGATAGACTTTGCAAAATTCTCCAAATTTACCATATGCATGCAAATTGATCAATAAAACAAATTTTCTAAATGCAGACTTCTTTTATGTGTTTATATAATTATATGGACTTTAAAAGTTCTTAATGTTCCCACTTCAAAATATATGCAAATTTTCTATAAACAATCCTATATCAAATATACAAATGATCTTTTAAAATGTATTTCATGCATGTGATTTTTTTCTGGCATTCTTGATCTTTTAAGCCTTAAATTGCCATTGCTGTAATTAGCCTTAAAGCAGCATGCCTCCAAATTCATGCTTATTTTTATGACAATTTTGAAAATGTATTTAAAATAAAAGTAAAATATTGTGAAGTGAACACAGAAAATTATGTACACATTGCAAAGATTGTCAGTACATTCAATCCAGTCGTAAATTACCATAAAGAGGTCTGAATATACAAAATTAGCCCTTGCTGAGTTAGTCATGCAGCAGAAATATTGCGATAAATTCTACAAAATCTTCTATCATTTTTCACAAATGACAAGTAAATTATTTATTGAATATTGCATCTTTTAAGTTTTTTTTTCTCAAAATCTTAGTACATTTTACTCAAGGTTGATTTTCTTGAAATATTTTTCGCACATCTGTAAGGTTAATAATGCTGCTTTAAACATCTGAGCAGCCTGACCTGATGCAGGCTCTTTTAGATTTGTTGGTTCAGCTCAATTCTTGTACATTTTGTGCATTTTGATATTTAAATCCCTATAATTTTAGATGGACTGATCCAAGTTCAAAGCAAGGCTTAAAGGGACTGAACTGAACTGCAACAAACTTTAAGGTCTACAGAAAATTAATTTTTACCTGCTGTTAAGGAAATTATGATGGCTGATTGATAAAGCAATTGTGAAAATGTCACATAGACTTGAATTGTTTAATACCCTTTGATGCTGTAATATATTACTAGTATTACATAAATGTGCCATTAAAACCAAATAAATCAATGAATTGATCTCTAATACAGATAATACATAACTTTTTCTCTCTAAAATAAAGATGTTATAGAATTCTAATGGGGAAAGTACTATGTTGCTTGAAGATGTACAAGTAAAATTATTTAACTTTTCAAACTTGAAGTACTTTACACTGATATGTCTAAAATAATAAATATATCTTTAAATGTAATATATTCATACAGTGTTGCCCTCACATGTTCACATGTCTGTTTATTATTATTCATTATTATACAAATGTATTTGTCTCATGTTTTTGTATTGTAATGCAAACTGGGATATAATTATTCAATAAAACTTGAAAACTTGAAAGCCTCCTTTATAGAGCCTGACCAGCAAAAGCAAGACATAGAGGTTATGTCTGTCCAGACTGTATTGAATCATTGTTCAGTATTGTATGCTTATTTATATTATTTTGATATCAGACTTAAGTCAAATTAAATTAAGAGTGTATTGAGTCCCAAAGTCAATGTGGGACAAATTTGTCATACACGTTCAGAAAGGTAAATTTTTTCTCTATTTTATAGGATGCCTTATCCTTATAGAAACATTTTTCGATCTGTTTGTTGAACCAACCAGCACTGGGCAATGAGTTTTTTTACTTCTTTGCTCAAGGAAACAACAGTTTGGCGTTGGTTTGGATTTGAACCCACGGGACTAGTGATCATTACTAGTCAGATTACTATTCATATGTTTTAACTACTTAGCCATGTTGCCACTAAAATGTAAGGTAAACATGATTCATGCATTTATTTCATGTTATTTTCTATCTTGATTTTGTTATATATAGGTCATCGACAATGATGAAGAAGGTTCCGGTGGCACGGCGTCATTTTGACACTTTTGGCACTATAGACTGGATGTCCGGTATACCTAAACGTGGTATGATGCTTCATACAGATCGGTACAACTGGGATCTTGCCAAGGCTTTAGACGGGTACAGCACTTTAATTAACTTAATTGACATTATCAATTTTAAAATAATCTTATATAATGATATATTTGACTGTGATATGCTCATACTGCCCGTGGAAGTTTGTTCTTTTACAGACATGTTTTATTTATACTTCTTTTGATGAAATTTGTTGCATATTTGAACCATCGAGTCAGCTTCCTGATAAATCTAGTGTTAGTGTCAATAAGGCTAAAACACACAATTCCAAGGTTAAAAGACAGACACCTTTATAAGTAAGCCACCTCTTCCGGCGGGCAGTAGCAGTTATGTGACAAGATTCAGGGGTGCGGCCGTGGCCGAGTGGTTAAGGCGTTGACTAAACCCACCCCTGCCCCTCACCGCTGTGGAGGTTCGAATCCCGACCAGGGACTTTGGATTCTTTCATGCGAGGAAGCTATTCCAGCTAGGCTTACGAAACGTCCGTGTGGTTCTACCTAGGTGACCGTTCGTGCCTAAAATAATGCACGGAGGGCACCTGAGGTCTTCCCTCCACCCATTAAAGCTGGGAACGTCGCGATATGACCTTATATTGTTGTCAATGTTTACGTAAACCCAAAAACAAAAACAAACAAGACAAGATTCAGTAATGCAATTGGCTGCTGAATTATATTTAAGCATAATATTAAAAAATCAACTCACACCCCCAGAACCCAAAAAACCTTAGAACAGAAAAAGGATATATTGATCAGGTCAGTTTATACTAATATATGTAAAGTTGTGGGCAAAGCAAACTCTTCCACATCTCTAATTCACTTGGTGTTAAAGCGCATTTTAGCTGGATGACTTTAAGTGAACTTTTAAAAATGTTTTGGTCTATGCTATAACTTACTGGTGATTGACTTTATTACATCTTTTTAGAATTAGTTTCTAATTGACATTAAGTAATCTTGTGTTTAGTTTGGTTACAAAGTAATGCCAATAAACGGTTATTTTGATGTGACTGACCAGATCAGCCCATGAGGCTTATATTTGACACCTTAGTTTATATTGTATCATAATCTCTTGACAGACTGTTTCACATGTATGTGCCAAAGTGCCTAATACAACAATGTTTATTTTGACAATGATTTAAAGGACTCCACAGAGTTTTTTTGTTTTTTTACATGATGGGAATTGAAATTTTTTTTGAAATTTTTTTTAGATCTAGAAATTAATGTGACTCCATAATATAGATCTAGACAAATAGTGTGTAACCCCCAGTTTAATCATTTGCTGGACCTCCCTTTTTTTCTGAAAAATAATTATGTGAAGTTTGAAAATGATTGGCAGGTTTTAATCTGTTATTTCAAAAAGCTATCAACCATACCTCTAACCATACTTCCTAAAGGCATATAATCAACAGGTTTTCATTAGATTTTATAAACAGAATGGGTAGATGTATAATAGAATTATTAGAACTTATCAAACATTGCATAATCTCAGATTATTATAACAAACATTTTAAGTAGATAAACTTTGGGTTATTTGGTATTTTTTTCAATTTTTTCCCCCTTTAATTTGATTTTTTTTGCTATTTTTGGGTTTCTTTAAAGGGCAAAAATTTCAAAATTTATATCATACATAAAATATACTAACATTCAAATAATTTTAATTTTTACTTCGTGGACTAAAAAATTGAAAGACATCAATTTTCCCGAGGTTTTCCCCCATTTTATTGACTTTTCCAAAACAGGGCTTGATTTTTTAACCCCTTTTTAAACTTTTTGGTCATGTTATTTTTTAAAATTTTATTACATAAAATTGAAAAGTTTTTTAAAAAACTTTTATAATATAGTTCAAATTAAAGATTTTGGGTTTAAAATAAATTGTATAATATGCCCCCATGTTGCAAACAAATTTAAAAAATTTTGACTTAAGCCGAAACCAGGATTTATTTATAAGTTTTTTGTTTGGAGAAAATTTTGGGGGAAAAATTAAACCTTAATCCAATTTTTAATACCCTAAGACGTAATACATGAAAAATGAGATAGAAAAAATTAAAAAAGGGTCTTTTAATGTCATGTTTTTTTAAAATCGAGGTTTAAAATATTGACGTGAATTTAAAAAAAAAATGAAGAGGAAAAAAAAATTGTTATGGTTTTTTTTTATAGAGTTTAAACCCTAATTTTTTTTTTAAAAATGGATGTAAAATTTTAATATTTGTCATAATTTTCCCGTTTCAATGTTGATAGCACTTTCTGGAAAAGGTAAAACGTTTCATTTCGGTGATAAAATCGACTATGTTTTTAAAAACTGAAAACCAAAGTTGGATTTGTTATAATCAGTTACTGAAATGCCCACACGTATGATAAATTACCTTCAAATTGGACCCAGGATGAGTCAGAGGGGAGGTTAAAAACGCGGAGCTCGGTAAGGGGAACGATTTACGAAGGGAAAAAGGGGCGGCGAGAAGTACTCCCTCACAGAGCTCAGTTAGATCTCCTTTTTGGGGTGGAAAAAAAGTAGAGTTCAATAAAAGGGGTACGTTTAATTGTGTTTTTTAAAAAGCGTGTTAAAAGATTTTACATTTAATTTAAAAAAAAATGTTTGCCCGTTTGAGAAATGGATTTGTAAAATGAAACCAAAACATAATAACTCAGAAAAGGGTTGACTAGCTGGTATGGGAAACTTTATATTGGGGGATTGCCTGTGTTTAAAAATACTGGGAATTTTTCCCTACCATGTTTTTAAGGTTTTACTTAAACAGACAGAAAAAAAAAGAGACAAAATTTTGTACCCTGGACATTCAATTTTTGGGCAAGTAAAAAGTTTTTTTAAAAATTTTTGCAATGAATATGAAAGAAATTTTTTAAAAATTTCAAAAAGTTTTGAATTTTTTTTTTGGGAAAAAATGTTTTCGAAAACACAATTCATTGTAAACAAAAGGGTTTAAAAATTTTAAAAGTTTTTAATTCAAAGAATTTTACGTATCAAATTTAAAATTTACAAATTTTATTTCCCGATTGGTTTTTTTTATATTTAGGTCAGATTTGAAAATTTACCAATGAAAAGCTCTGCTTTTCTAATGACTTGATAAAGCTCATGTCCGTCACTCTTATAGGGAAAATAGGTTTTTATAAACTTTAAAAAAATTTTGGCAAAGAAAAAATTTTCTGATTTTTTTTCTGATAGATTGGGTTAATGGTTATTGATTTTTTTATAAATGATTAATGATCGAGCAGTTTTTTTTTAAAAGGGCTAATCAACTTATAAAAATTATTTTATTTTTACTTAAAACCAAGTTTAAAATAATTATTGGGATATTGTTAGTTTAATTTTAAATAAATAACTTCAAATTAAATATAAAATCATGTTAAAAATGGAAATTTTTTTATATACTTTTGGCCCCAAATTTTCCCACACCAAAATTTTTTGTTTTTTTGCCAATTTTCCCCTGTTTTCCCAAAAAATTTTTAATTTTTAAAACTTGAAAAATTTTTTCTTTTCCCCAAAAAAATTTGTAATTTTTTTTCCCGGTTTGTTTTATTGAAATATTTTGGCTCATCTAGATGGAAATCATAAAAATTTTATTTGAGCGGTATGAAAAAATGATAAATTTTTTTATCACAAGGGTTTAAAAAAAATTTCCTGTATTAAGTGTATTTATAGAATAAAAAACTTGAATTTTCTGTTTATTCTATCCATTTTGCTCTTTTTATAAATACAATTTGAAAGACTTCCACTTAAATTTTGTGAATTGGCTGAATTTAGAAGAATACAACCAGACACCAGTGAAAATATTGAAAATATATTTCAATGTAGCGAAAAATAATTTTTTGCAGTGAAAATACGGAAAATGAAAATATGCATTTTATTTCATCAATATTTCTAAATATTTCATTAATGTATATAATAAGTAGTATAACTGTGTTTTTTTCTCAGGTTTCAGATTCAGAGAGAGATCGAGAAGTTAAAATCACTCATCTTGCCACAGCATGCCAAAGACCTGTTCCATGGACGAGGATTTGTTCTTCCCTCGTAAGCAATTTTGTTACTACTAATATTGAAACTTTACACTTACTTTTTACTTAATTCTGTGACACAGGTGAGCTTATAGGACTGATAGTTGGCCGTTGTTTGAAATCAGTTGTCCACAGTTGTTTTCTATATCTTTAATATTCTTTTGAAACTTGCCTTGGATGTCCTTGTATGAATTTATATGGTTTGTGTTCATTGCATATTTAGTTCACCAGAGCTAGAAATAGTTTTAAATTGTGAAATCTAGAAAACTGCAACTGGCCTTAGCTTAGTTTTTCACTAAGGTGAGCAATAAAGAGCCATCTGTGAACTGCTCATTACAGCTGTATGTCTAATAAAACTGCATTCCTTTGTATAGACAGAAAGTATACAAATACCAATATACGAGGGGTTATCCAAAAATTAGTGGACTTTCTTTGTTGCGTAAAATATATTTGAGATATTAATTTAAAATTCTTACACCTTGAAAAAAAAATAACAAATAGAACTAAAAAAAATCATGTGAGTGTTCTCATTACAAAAATATTTAATTTTACATAAACAATTCGGTGACAGGGGCCACCCAAAAAAGTTATTGACTCAAGTCAAAAATATTTTAAAGAAAAACTTAAGGTACTCGCTACTTTCCCGCCCGAATTGAAACATCTCAATTTTTGATGTTTTTTGTACGCAACTTATAAATATTGAGCTTTATTCTGCAGCATTTTTTTATAAAAAAACAGCTTATATGAGTAAAGCGCCCTCTATGGGGTGGGGCGAAATTGCTTTTTTTATCAATAAACCGGTCTGTTTTTTATAATTTTTTTCGATTTTCATTCATTTTAATTTTATAATGTTCAGAAATGTATGTCTTTGTTATGGTGTTTTTTTAAATTTTTTACTTAATAGTTGCGTTTTACGTCATTTTTCTCTACGTTCGAGCCCATATTTGATGCAAATACGCGGATATCGCAAAAAGATTGAAAAATAAAAAAAAATAACAGGGTAAATTTTGCTAAAATTTTAGCTGTAAGATAGTAAAGGGAAAAATATTTATGCAATAAAAATTAGGGTAAGCGAAAGATATTTTGCTTTTACTTTTTTAAAATAAAAAAAGGGGGTAGTTAAACGTAATGTTTTGGTGACTTTAATAGGTTTTGGAGTTCAAAGAATAAACACATAAAGTTTTCTTACTCAAACATTAGATGTAAGTATAAACAACACGGGGACTTGAAATGTATTTTTTTTTAAAATTTGTTATTATTTTCTCATTGAAAGCATTCGCTAATGACCCCATTTACAATGTTTAAACCGCAATCCCCTTTTAAATGCTTTCCTAAATTTGCAGGGCACAGTTCATACTCTTTTAATTTTAAATTTTATAATTGTGATGTTGTTTTAAAGTTTTATTATTTTGAATTAACTAGTTTCAACCCAAAAAATAAATTCCCTTTGCTTTATAATAAGTAGAATATTAGATTGCTTTCTTATACCCGAGAATTTTATTTTTCTTACATTTAGCTTTAAACACTTTTTATAAAATCACATAAAAACAACAGCCCCGGTGTCAAAAAAAAACGTAAAAAAACAATTAAAAAAAGATAGCATACAAATGTGTGAAAAAAGTGTAAAAAAAATTTTCAGAAATAATATTCATATATTTTAAAAAGGGGGACTCCACTGGGGGGTTTTTTTGACATAAAATGGAACTAAAAATTTTTTTTCCAGATAAATGTACCTAAAAGGGTTTAGACTTAATTTTTGCAAATTTAAGAGCTTTTCCCGCATTTTCGTTTTTCCAGAATAATTATTCAAAATAAAAGGTTTTAAACGCTTTTCCCCCAAAATCGGGCTAAAAAAAGAAAAAAATACGATTTTAATTTTTATTTCAAAGAAATTTTTTCTTAACATTTCGCAAAATATTTCTTTTTAAAGTGCCCCAGCTCATTTATGTAAAAAATTTTAAATGCTAGTGTTTTGGTTTTTTCCAATTTCAGGGACCCCCTTTAAGAATATTTAAAAAAACTGTAAAAGAAAACAAAAACCTTTTATTTTATTTTTAAATTTTGTTCCCATTTTTAAGTCTTGAAAAATAGATTAATAATTAAAATTTAATTAAAATGTCATGATAATTAAAAAATAAAGCATTTAAAATGTGAAAAACTATAAACTATTTTGGAAGCAAAATCTTTACTGAATAAAAAATATAAAAATTTTTAAATAAGCATATTGAACTGCAGACTCGAATGAAAAAACCCCAATATAAATTTCAATCTGGGATTCTTTTACTGCTTGTTCATTTAAGTATAAAAAAGGGGGGGGGCTCAAAATATTATTTTTTTTCTAAAGAAGTTCCACTATTTTTCCTTTTGGGAAACCACTCACAAAAAGGGCTTTTTTCTCTGTAAAGGTTTCTGTATTTTAAAATTAAATAAAATATTTTTTATTAGAAAATTGTGCAATTTTTTTTAACCACTGAAACGAAAAATGTATTATTTGACGTTATCTTTTTTCCATTTTTTAAAAACAAAAAACTTTTGGGTTTTTAAAAACAAAAAATTTAAAAAAAAAAAGGAAAAAAAAAAAACCCAAAAGCACCCCAAAAACCGGGTGTTTATGAGGGTTGCAATAAATGGACTTTTTCCTTTTTTAAAGGGGAGAACAAAATAAAGGTTTTTAACTTTGAAAAATTCTTCTTTTTCCCCACGGTGTAATCGGTAAAGTGGTCTTACGCTAAATTCGGTTTTAGGATGGTTTCGGACCCGTTTCCCGTATTGACTAAAAAGAATATTTTTTAGAATTGTTTTACGGGTGTATGAAATTTTTAAAGGGTCCCTCGGACCCCTTCATTTTTTCCAAAAAGGGAAAAAGGTTAAATTACTGTAAAAAAAACTGGTTTCTTTAAAATTTCCTCCGCTATAATTGAAAAATGTGTTAAAAAGCGGCGTTAAACCCAAAAATTAAAAAAATAAGAAGATAAAAAATAAAATGCATATTTCTTTTATTTGCATGGGCCCCTAGATGGGATGAATTTGGGGAGACGAAAAAAATTTTCCCCCAAAAACCATAAATCACAAAATTGAAAAATCCAACATAACGCCTTCAATACAGGGGAAATTCTATTTTTAAATATAAAAATTCCCCCCGCTTTTGAACATACAAATAAATAAAAAGGGGGATCTTTTCGCCTTTTAATCGAAAATGATCGCTGCTTCAGGTCCCCTAAAAGATGCCTAAAAAACGCTTCCCAGCGAGTCACTATTTTTAAAAAAAAATAAGAATTTTCTGTTATTATGTAAAATACGTGAAAAAATTAAACCCATAGAAATTGAGGCGGGATTCCTGCTTTAAATCTGAGTCCCCAGGGCTTAGGGGGCGGGTTTTTAAAGCTGCGAAGAA